TTTCTCATCATTTTTCCTTTCCCTTCTTTCCTTTCCCCTGCCCCTCCCACTACTCCTACCCCTTTGGACCTTTTCTTCCTATTTTGCATTATCGATTATTCATTCTAATCATTGGTACATTTTACGTATACAATATAATGATGAGAATCTCATCTCTTAGCCACTGACCTCTGAACTCTTTTTTTTTTACCTCTGAACTTTTATAATAGACTTAGGCAATTCTAAAAGTAGCCTTATGTGGGAAGGTACAACTCAACCTCTGCAAAACTTCAAATTATGGGGCTCTTTGTCAATTTAGAGTAGCTAAGGCAAACTATTGCTGAAAGAAAACTGTATTTTCTCCCCTCTGTTTTCATGCTGAAAACCGCTAACTTAAGTTCACCCTCTCCTGTAGGATCCTTCTGAAAAGTTACAAAAGGAAACACATGACAATATTCCAAAGTTTTTTCTATCATTTCTCTTAACACTACAGTCTCAGATTTCCATGGAATAGCAGTACAGATTAGCTTTCCATGGAAGAGCAAGTGTAGGTTAACCAAATGCTTTGCTATCAAAACGTTACAAGTTTCCTCTCCCTATCTTTTTCCAGACTCTTCTGATCATTCTCCCCCAAGGCTCTCAGCTTGTTAAAATCACATTTTCAGCCTCATACTTGATTTCTCAGGGTTGAAAGACAGCTGCTACAGCTTCAGGCTTCACATTTGCATTTAAGGCAAGAAGAAAGAGGAGAGTAATAGCCACTCATGCCCTCTATCAGAAAAGCAAAAGACTTCCCTGAACTCAGCAGACTTCTCTTCACAATTACTGGTAAGGGAAACGGGATTGTCATGACTGGTTCAATTAAAGGTTGTTTTTGCTGGGTACTCTGATGCCCTAAGAAAATGAAGGTAAGCAATGGGATGTGGGTATTAGGGAAGTCACTATGAATTTCTGGCATACATAGATATTTAAAAATCAATCTCTAGTTGGTGAAATTTCAGACAGTACACGAGAAATGGGTGGGGGAACCCCTAAAGGCAGTTATAGAACTACATTTTAGATAGAGATTCCCCCACTCAAGCAAATGAATCCTACTTAGGATCTATCCTTGAAATGAATACCCTTTAGCATTTCTGCTTTTCTCACACTCTTCCCTTCCTTTGATTCTGAACCCACATATTTTCTAAAATACCCATGTTTATTAACAACTGTTTCTATGGTAGCAGAGCCCCTGGTGGTGAAGCCCAGGGGTAGAGGCTATTTATAAAGACTGCAGTATATGCCAATAGCAGCTACTATTGATGAAATCCTTGAGGAATTTCTCAAACAGATAAATATTGTGGAAAACAAAACATATTCAAAGTGCCTGTTATTTATAAAGAAACATCTTGGACTATAATTTAGTTCCCCATCTAGGTTCACCAACTAGAAGAAACTACATTGATCATTTTGGTACAACTGGCTTATGCCACAGTTTTATCTATAAATTGATAAATTTTCACTTTGGCATTACATATTAGGTGTATCAGGTTGCAGGACTAATTTAATCCTCTCTGGGACACTTCTGACCAGATCAAATTCTAAGACCACAAGACTGAGAGTCAGCTCTTTGAAGTTTTACTAAGGTTATACCATTAGATGTGGTCATTTGACTAACACAGCTGGTCGGCTTCAGGCAACAGCCCTTTACATTATTGATAACTGAGTGTACTGGCATGAATTTATATCTTTAAAATGTTTACAGAAGCAATAAAATAATTTTCATTTCATGTAGCAACTCTCAAAACCACTTTTTATTGTGTAAATTGTGCCACCTATAAATATACTCCCGTCACCAGCCATTCAAAGTATGATATTTTCTGGGCTGGGGATTTAGCTCAGTGGTTTGACCGCCTGCCTTGCAAGCGCAAGGACCCAAGTTAGATCCCTGGTACCATAAAAAAAAAAAAAAAAAAAAAAAGACAAAGTTATGATATTTTCTGAGTAACTCTCAATTCATACTATGTATATACAGGCACATAGAACATGGGCTCTGGAGCCAGAAAGCTAGTGTGCAAATCCCAGTTCCACAGTAGAATGTTCCCCCCTATAAGAGGTGTATGACTCTGAACAAAAGTCATTGTTTTCTCATCTACACATGACAGCAGAGAGAAGAGGGATAGAACAATACTGTATATTGGGCATTCCCAACCTGCAAGTTTGAAATGTCCCAAAAGCTGAAACTTTTCAGGTATCTTGCTAGCACTCACATCTGGATGTTGAATCCTGGAGCATTTCAGTTCGAATTTTCAGTTTAGGGATGCTCAACCAGTAAAGTCTATCCAAGTATTCCAAAATCTGAAAAAATTCCAAAATTGGACACTAGCTCCCAAGCATTCCAGATAAGGGATATTAAATTTGTGCTCATTTCAAAGGGATACAGGAAAATAAAATGAAGCTATACATGCAAACACCTGGAATATAAGGACTCAGTAAGTGGTGATGATCATCATTACTCCTAACTGGAAAATCTAATGTGTATAGCTGCATTTGATGCAATATAAAAATAATTTGATAATAAAGATTAACTTTAGGTGAAAAATGTGAATACAAACTCTCTCAAATTAGTATTTCATCAAAAATTGCACCATCAATGCTGGCTGGGGAATGATTTATAAAATCTTTCAAACTACTACTACATGACAATAGCAAACTTTCCCATGAGGAACAGTCTTCGTTATGCATGCTTCCTACAAAATGCTACAGCTCTGTAGACATGTGAAAGAGGAAGCCATCAGTGTTCCCCAACCGATGACCTCCTCATACCCTGGTCCTCCTATGTCATTGAAGCCTACAAATTCAATGCCCAATCTACAATCAATACCTAAAATACATCTCTGAACACTGCCTTAGGGAAGCTTCTCTTGAAATAAGGGGCCCCAGGAAATGCCTTTCAGGGATCCTAAATTTCCTCTAACATGCATCTATTTTCTCTTCCCCACAAACGCTTCTTTCATGTGTTTTACTCACTCACAAGCACAAGCCTCTTTTACATTTTTGACCTTCACTCACTCCACACTTCACTTCCTCAATCATCTTCCTCTCTGTGCCCCAACCTTCAATCATATCTACTAGAAAGTCCATTTGAGGATACATTCTTTTTATCTTAATTTAAAGTAATTCCTCACTTCACAAATGCTTCTGTTTGCAAATAATTCGGTTTGCAAACAAAAGTGCTGGGCAAAATTTTGCTTCAATTTATTTGCAAACTCCACATTGGGTGACAAACACGACCACAGCCATCTTCCCCACACAAATACAAATGCAGCCATGTTTCCCAAAATCATAAAACAAGTTTGTAAACCGAGGTACCATTGGGGTTTTTTTGTTTTGTTTTGTTTTTTGAGACAGAGTCTGGCTATGTAGTTCAAGCTGGCCCTGAACTCACTACGTAGCCCAGGCTGACCTCAAATTCATGGTGATTCTCCTTCTCAGTCTCCCAAGTGCTAGGATTACAGGCGTGTCCCCCCACACCTGGCTTATTTTTGATTTCTTGACACTTTAATGAAAATCCAGTTAGAAATCTTAGATCGTATTGTCTTTTGTCCTTATTTTCTTCTCTTTTTCTGACTTAGGAGAAAGACATGAGGAATAACATTGTCTTTGCTCCTGAATTCCACTTTCAGATTACCACACTCTGGAATGCTTTTCATATTGTGAAATCTCCACCCTACCCTACATTTCAGAGAACCAGCCTCAACAATTCTATTTGAGAGAGGGGGATTTAGCTCAGTGGTTTCGCCACCTGCCTCGTAGGCGCAAGGTCCTGAGTCTGATCCCTGGTACCCCCCCCCCCAAATTCTATTTGAACACTGAATTCTTTAAATTTTTCGTCCCATCCTTGTCTTGGTAGAGGTGATTCATTAAGAGTCCACAGTTCAGGTCAGGGATTTAGCTCAGTGGTTTTGCCGCCTGCTGCACAAGCACAAGGACCCGCGTTCGATCCCCAGCACCAAAAAAAAAGGGTCCACAGTTCAATTTCTGTCAATGTTAATGTAAAAGTACTTGGAGGTTACATGAACCAGAAAGATTAAACATGTAAATGATAGTCACGTGGCCAACAACTGAGTAAAATACAGGACCATTTCTGCACTCGTTACAGTTTTCCATAATATTCAAGTTAAGTTGTATAAATGTATATTTTCTATTATTAGAAATGCATGTTAGGGTCTGGGGATTTAGCTCAATGGTTTCACTGCCAGCCTTGCAAGCACAAGGACCCGAGTTTGATCCCCGGTATAAAAAAAAAAAAAAGAAAGAAAGAAATGCATGTTAGCTATTGCCCTAGACATAAATCACCATTCGCTTTCCAAGATTAACCATAGTACCATGAGGTTAGAAGGTTAAGTGGGCATACCAGCTATTCTTGGCAGATGATCACTATTTAGAAGATCTAGAATGAGATGGTAAGAAAGTACAATCTTAAAGCACTTAATTTCAAAGTCATCAACTTCTAACTTCAGTTTCTCTGACTGCTTTTCCCCTGTACATCTTGGAAAAGAACAGCATTATCTATCCCCAGTATGACAGCATTTCACCTACTTGAACTGCAGTATGGTCACCCTGAGCCCTTGATTTCCTAAGCACAACTTAGGCTTTTCTCCAGACTGCTATTCTCCAAAACTTTAAAAAAATCTATTTAAATTTAACTTGATTCATATTATTTTTAAATCACAAAAACCGGACTTAGATTTAACCAGCTTACAGTACTTTGTTGTTTCTAATATTTTTATAGTTAACATATAATTGAATATTGTTCTATACATACAAGCTTCTCAAATATTAGAAATTAGACTTGCAAAATTAAAAATTACAGGATTTTCCATACTTCAGACAATCTTTATTGTATCTTAGTTCAATCAAACCAATGTTCTAGAACTAGGATTAACAATATATGGCAACACATATAGCCACCACAGTATTAAAAAGAATGATTACTTACTAGCTTTGTCCTTGGATGAAAATTCTTGTAGATTGCAGAGTACAGAAAATTGGCTCTTTGGAGTTCACGTTTACTACTTCTGCTTTAGTAAGAATTGTAGCCAACATAAAGGAAATTAAAAGAAAACTATTTAACAATTTTAGTACACAAAGACAGTAGAATGTATACGAATATCATATAAACTTTTTTATTTAATAATACCTCAAAAGACTTCATAGTAAGAAGCAGAATCTTCACTTTGTTGATGTTTAATTTCTCCTCTTTCCTTAATCTTTTTCTTTTTTAAAGTCCTAGGAAAACTTTATTATTATTTCCAAACACAAGGCTAGAAGTTAGATTAAAAGGAAAATTGAATTTTACAGACATTTCTCATTTAAGAACAGTTTCATTCCTGCAACTAAAATGACACTAAATGACATTAAATGAAGAATTGCATATAATATGTACATTACAATATTCAGTACAAAGAAACAGTCGAAGGAAACTCCAACATGGTTATTTTGCTTTTATTTGCATAACTCTTACATGCAGTACTGTAATGTACAACAGAATATAAAACTACAGTACTGTACAGTACAATCAGCAAAAATTACAGAAAGACATTGAGGTTCTATCAACAAGATGTACAGAACTGTACAAAAAAACAGTTGTTAAACAGGTAATTGTTAAATGAGGAATATCTGTGTTTGGAAGATTACTAGATGGACGAGACCCCTTGCAAAACATACAAGTACAGTGGTACCTCGATATATGAACTTAATTTGTTTTACAATTTTGGGGAAGATGGTTGTGTTTGTGTTTGTGTGAGGAAAATGACTGTGCTGTGTTTGTCATCCGATGTGTAGTTTGTAACAAAAACAAAATTTTGTCGAACACTTTTGTTTGCAAACCGAATTGTTTGCAAACCAAAGCATTTGTGAACCACAGTATTACTGTAAAATAAAGACTTTGGGGGAAGAGCATAGAATTACAGATATTCCTCGTTTAACAATCTACCTGTTTAACAACTGTTTGAACTTATGACCAAGGCTCACTGTTCAGACTTACAACCTGCTGCTCAGACTTACAACTGTTTTGTAGTTTTATTATCTTGTTGATAAAGTCTCACTGTCCTTTTCATATAGTATACCTTGCTTATACCATACTGTAATGTCTTGTACCATATAGTACTGTACTATATAGTACTACAGTTTTATGTTCTGTTATACATTACAGTTCTGCGTGTAAAAATTATGCAAATAAAAAGTCACCAAGTTGGAGTTTCCTTTGACCATTTCTTTGTTCTGAATATCGTAATGTACATACTATATACAATTCCTCACTTAGCAACCACTTCATCCAACTATATAGTCAGAGAAATTGAATCCAGTCTTTCAAAGGAGGAGTGTCTATATAGTTTTTAATTATGAAAGCTACGCTTACTGTTATGTTTCCCCTGAGAAAAAAATTTACAGGCATTACCATAGATAGATGATTAACAGGGACTGCCATTTCAATTAGGTGCTAGCCTTCACAGGAAAGAGGGAAATTTAGTATAATTTATCTTCCACTTTAAAAAGTTCATTTTTTCCACAGTGCCATTTGTTTTATATGACACTAAGACAGAAGATCAACACATGGCTCAGAACACCTTAATTATGTTGAAGTGTCATGTATGATTATCATAGATTATATCATCCAATTGTTGGAATTCAGCAATCAGTTTCCCAGAAGTTTACGATCTTCCCATAGTCATACTAATAATGAACCTAGTAAGTTTAAGAAGTGTATTTTTATAACGACAAAGCATCAGAAGTTTATTCAAATTTGATCATACTGGTTTTTAATTTTTCTAATTCATTTGTAGTCTGTGAGATAATTGCTCATACACACAAATAAAAAGTTCAAGGGGCCACATACATTGACAAGGTTGAAGTCACCAAGTTCTTCTGCATCCTTACAATCAACATACCAGCACTGTTTATTAGAATCTGCTGTAAATTTGGGATATAGACCAAAAGGGTTGTAGACATGAATTGTGCCTGAAGTCCCACATTACACTGAACTTTTATGAATTTACTTGGAAACATGAACTGAGTCCATGTTTACTGAAGGTCAATTGTTTTGGAGGGAGTTCTCTAAATTACTTTCCATGTGGAATACTGTTTATTAAAGGATAAGTAGGTAATTGAAAAGTGCTAATTTTGAGGGGTTGGGGGATGCTGGGAACTGAACCCAGGGCCTCATGTGTGCAAAATGGGCTAATTTGAAGCTTACATGTGTTAATAAAACTTAACAGAAACTACAAATTCAGACTCGTGATTTTTCAGGAAGGAGTATTTTATCACTAACATTACAGATAAGTGACATTTACTGAAGGTATACAGAGTGCACAGTATTTTGCTTTGTTGTAGCCAGACTGTATGCACATGAAATACTGAGAATTAATTACAAGGCAATCATATTTATTCATCAAAGCTGCCTCAGCAAGATTTAAAGAATACAAAACCCACTCTGTGAGCAGTTATTGTATTTGAATTTCAAAATAAATATCACATGAAGTTACATATAATCCACTTTTCAAGTGTTACACTAACTCAGGCCTTCTTCCTGCATATTACAAATAACTGAAACTATACTGTAAATCAACATGTGGAAAGGCTTTCCAAGTATTAACATTTATACAAACATTAACAATTTAAGAGACTTAGGGAATTGTTCAAATTTTCACAAATTATGTGACATTAAACACTTATATTCTATTTTTTTCAAGCAGCTTATCCAATCTTCCTTCCCATCTTGCAGCTGTGTACATGTACAAATTTTCTGCTTATGTGATCCTTGTAATTTTTAAAGACAGTCTTTTTAACTAAAAGAAAATCTAACTTACCTCAAAAGGCATGTGGGTATGGGATGGGATAACATGCTACCTTAGAAAAAGGCAAGAAAGGGACACCCAAAGCCTAGGGTTTTTTTATCCCTTTTCATAGCTTCTAAATCCTTTTGCTGTATAGCTCTTTCACTCACAAATTCCCTGCAGTCTATTGAAGCAGCACCTACACTACTTGTAGTTCTCAGATTCCCCAACCTCTTCTATCAATAAGAATGTCCTGGGGCAGTTAAAAATTAAATTCACACACACACAAAATTAAATTCATAAGTGAATACCATGGAAATTAGATTTCAATGGGTTTCAGATGAAGGTTCTCCATCTCATTTTAAATATGTGCTTTTCATTGACAAAGACCAAGCCAACTTTAAAAATAATGGCCCAAGCAAAAGGGAATCCTACTATAGATCTCCAATGTTCCTCTAAAATGATCAGCCTCAAGGGCTAATCCTCTTCTGGTTGTTAATATTTAGGGCATTTGAAAAGAGTGGGCTAGATTTGGAGAAAGCAGACTGGCATCTTGTCTATACCTCTCTGATTTAAGTTTTCAACACACTAAAGAATACTAACTATATCAAAGAGAGGATTTTAGTTTGGATATGTTTAGTAGAAGTCGTACACCACCAGGGGGAAACACGGAGCTAACAAATTCTACATGTTTAGGTTTTTGGTTTTTTTTTAACTTTCCACTACTACATAAAATGGTTGCTCTATAATTTCCATGAACAGAGTGAGAGGGAAGTAGCACTTAAAAGACATGGGTAAAAGATGTCAGCATGCACTGTAATTTTCACAGATTTCTCTTTCTAGAAGGTCTTTATAGAGCCATTGTAGAAAAAAGTTCCTTTGAAGTTGCACGCACTTGGATTTTTTTTTAAAATGCGTTCAAATACAAAGATTCCAGACCAGTTGAACCAAAGTGGTCTTCCAACTTCTCTCTAAATTTCAAAATATTTGTCCTACTTTTATATTTAATTAGCATTGTAACAATGCTTTCCAATGATTTTAATCAAATCTTAAGTAGTGTTCTATCAAGTGGGGGAAAATGGATGAGACAATAACTTTGGCAAGCTATGCCAAGGCTTTCTATAGTGTTGTAAAAATGTTGCCACCACCTGTCAGAAAACTATGCTTCCCATCCTATGCATCTTCCATTAAGTTTTTTTTTAACCCATCCCCATTCCTCCTTCTAGTCCATAATTATTCCTTCTAGAGATGAAGAAGAAATATCCTGTCAAATCAGGCAACTTCTACAAACATCTTCTCCAAGAGCTTTTTTCCTCTGAAATTCCACCATTAGGGATTAGAGTTGGTTAAGAAATGCTGAAAGGTGAGGGAGGGAAAGGCTTGAAGAAGGAACTTTACTTGTCCCCCTAGTTGGCCAAAATTAAATACTCCCTATCCAGATATTCATATGTCTAAGAAAAATATGGACCCAGCCAGCCCCTGTGGCAATTCTATGACGTGGGTTTTGAAGTTTTCAACCCTAATTCCATCATTTCACTAAGAATGGCCACGGTGGGAAGAGGGGCCAAGAAACATAAAGGGCATTGCTGGAAGCCCACCCAACCTACCCCAATAAAAACATTTTAGGTGTGAGCTGTCAGCTGTGCCCCAGCTCCCTAGAACTTAGCGTTCTAAAAACTAAGGGTTTTCAAACTTTTCAAATGGTTTACGTACCATGAAAAGGCCAGGACCCCATAGGAAAATGGCTCTATTTTCAGCGTGAATTGGCTCTATTTTCAGCACAAATCGCAAAGGCTACTCCGAATCCAGAAGCTGTTTCAATGACTGCTCCAGCAGCACCTGAGACACAAGGCAGAGCTGTGCGTTCACGAGCGAGGACTTCACCCTGGAAGACCGCGTGCGGAGCGTCCGGGTGCGACCCACCACCCCACCCCCACAGGGGGCCCGACCCTGGAACAGCCCTCGGGCAGGTCCACCACGTGACGCGCGGTCACGCACTGTCCGCGTCAGGAGCGTGTCACGGGGTCCCCGGGGGAGGGGATGTCAGGGGACTGGTGAGGTGGGGAGCCCTGTCCTACAGCGGTCCTGCGAGACACCTCGGCGAGGTGAGGACAGGTGTCTCCTCCAGGCTACGGCGGGTCTCAGGTTCTGACCTCAGAGGGGACCTGCGAGACAATGAGGCCACGGGGTCGCCGTGACGGGAGTCTGAGGCCCGGGTAGCCCCCACGCAGGTCACCCCCGCCACCTCCCCTCTTCTCCCACCGCTTGCGCCCCGTGTTCCCACGTGTCTCCCCTCATGCTTGCTTGCCCTCACCCCTCATCGAAGCCGCGAGCCCGCTCTGCGTCCTCCGGGGCGCGCGCCGGCCCCGCCCCCTGCGCCCCTCGCGCGCCGCGGTTTCCTAGACAGCGCGGGCGCGCAGCGACGAGGGCGCAGGCGCGGGCGCGCGCCGGGGG